TCTTTTCATGGTTGTGCCAGATTCTGTGCCTGGTGGGTGGGTTCATCACGCCATCCGAGCCTGGGCGGTTCCTTGGGAACCACAGTCGCTGGTTGGTTTTCCAGAAATGATTTGTATATCCTTCTTTAGTAGAGAAATTAGTCCCTTGTGATTTGTCGCTGATATTGTTTTTGCATGTTGTTGTTTGCCTTTTGACTAAGTTTATTTATTTATTCCTTGTAGAAATGTTTTGTTTGTATGTAGTTGAATTGATCAGTTTTTTCTATGACTTTTGAGTTTTGCATCCTTCTTGGAGAGACTTTTTCTGCTTTGAGGTTATAAAACATATTAACTCCTGTTTTCTCTTAGTTTTCATCATTTAACTTTTTTTTGTGTGTGGTCATAATAACTTACAATGTAGTGAAGTTTTTGTACATTATTATTTGTCACACACCACATAAGTATGCCCCTTCACCCTTGTGCCCACCCTCCACCCCCCTTCCCCTGGTAGCCACTAATTTGTTCTCTTTGTCTATAAATTTGTTTATATTGCACGTATGAGTGAAATCATATAGTGTTTGTCTTTCTCCATCTGACTTCTTTTGCTTAACATGATGCCTTCAAGGTTCATCCATGTGGTTGCGAATGGGATGATTTCATCCTTTTTTATTGCTGAGTAGTATTCCATTATGTATATATACACCATGTCTTCTTTATCCAGTCATCACTTGATGGGCACTTGGGTTGCTTCCTTGTCTTGGCTACTGTGAATAATGCTGCAGTGGACATAGGGGTGCATTAGTCTCTTTGATTTGTTGATTTCAAGTTCTTTGGGTAAATACCCAGTAGTGGGATGGCTGGGTCATATGGTATTTCTATTTTTAATTTTTTGATAAATCTCCATACTGTTTTCCAAAGTGGCTGCACCAGTTTCCATTCTCACCATCGGTGGATGAGGGTGATTAGTCATGTTGAGCCTCTTTTCATGTGCCTATTGACCATCTGTGTATCTTCTTTGGAAAAATATGTGTTCATATCTTCTGCCCATTTTTTTGTAGTTCGTGTCAGTTCTTTATATATTATGGAGATTAACCCCTTATTGGATATATGATTTGCAAATATTTCCTCCCTGTTTGTGTGTTATTTTTTCATTTTGATGTTGGTTTCCTTTGCCTTCCAGAAGCTCTCTAGTCTGACGAAGTCACATTTGTTTATTTTTTCTTTTTGTTTCCCTTGTCTGAGTAGACATGGTATTTGAAAAGTCTGATGTCAAAGAGTGTACTGCCTATATTTTCTTCCAGAAGTTTTATGTTTTCAGCTCTTACCTTCAAGTCTTTGGTCTGCTTTGAGTCTATTTTTGTGCATGGGGAAAGATAGTGGCCTACTTTCATTCTTTTGCACATGGCTGTCCAGGTTTCCCAGCACCATTTATTGAAGAGGCTTTCCTTTCTCCATTGTATGTTCTTGGCTCCTTTGTTGAAGATTAGCTGTCCATAGATCTGTGGGTTTATTTCTGGGCTTTCAGTTCTGTTCCATTTATCTGTGTGTCTGTTCTTGTACCAGTACCATGCTGTTTGGATTACTATAGCTTTGTAGTATATGTTGAAGTCAGGGATTGCGATTCCACCGGCTTTATTCTTATTTCTCAGGATTGCTACTTGGAGTCTTTTGCCCCATATGAATTTTAAGATTCTTTGTTGTATTTCTGTGAAGAATGTCATTGGGATCCTGATTGGGATTACGTTGACTCTGTAGATTGCTTTAGGTAGTATGGATATTTTAACTATGTTTATTCTTCCAATCCATGTGCATGGAATATCTTTCCATTTCTTTGTGTCACTATCAATTTCTTTCAGTAATGTCTTCTAGTTTTCTTTGTATAGGTCTTTCATCTCCTTGGTTAAATTTATTCCTAGATATTTTATTCTTTTTGTTGCGATTGTAAGTGGGCTTATATTGTTGAGTTCTTGTTCTGTTAGTTCGTTGTTATAGAAATGCTGTTGATTTTTGTAAGTTGACTTTGTACCCTACAACTTTGCTGTAATTGTTGATTGTTTCTAATAGTGTTCCAATGGATTCTTTAGGGTTTTCTATATATAAAATCATGTCATCTACAAACAGCGTGAGTTTTACTTCTTCACTCCCTAATTGGATTCCTTTTATTTCTTTTTCTTGCCTAATTGCTCTGGCCAAAACCTCTAGTACTATGTTGAATAAGAGTGGTCAGAGTGGGCACTGATTTAATTTTTTATGTTTAAATCTTTACTCCATTCCTTCTAAAATTAATTTGAGGGTTTGGAATCCTGCTTAGTTTCCTTCTTTCTTTTTTCCCTTTAGATGGCTATCCAGTGTCCCTATGTCACTTATTGGATAATATCATCCCATACCATCTCCCCCTCTTCTGCCCCACTGAATGTTACTTGAATCAAGTACTGCATATTTTTATCTGTTTCTTGATTGACCAGTTTGTTTGTTAACATCCTTTATGAGACTTTTCATTACTTATTTGTATACTTTTATATCATAGAGGGCTAATGTCCTTACCTTGTTGTTATTTTTCAAATTTCTTTTTGTTTTTGCATGTTGATTACTACCTATGAATTTTAGAATTAGTTTCTCTGTTTTTGTAAACATCTTATTGTTATTACTATTGTTTTTTTGGTAACTGGCAAACTATTTAAAAGACTTACCTCTGCCAGCATTTCTCCTAGTGGATCTTTAACATTGGTCTTATGAGAATGCTTCCTCTAAAGAGAATTTCATGTGAAATATTTTTGAGAAATGCTGCATGTTATAACTCCTCTATAGGATTCACAGTATACAGTAATATATCAAAAGTTCTCAAAAGTTTAGCAGTAAAGAAATCTGGCTTAACTTTTAAACTGAGTTTCCCAGACTTGTTGGATCCTGAATCTTTATTTTCATACAGAATGTTCCTGCAGGATATTCTGTAGAATATATATTGGAAAACATTGAGCTATCATTATGTCTTCTTCATCTACAGTTCATAACTCACTGTAATCTGGCTACAATCCCCCAGTCAGTTTCTCTTAAAACTATTCTTGACAGGGGTGATCGTGTATTTTTGTCACCAAACTCAATGGATATTTTTTAATTCATTTTGAAACTTGACCTTTATGGATTTTCAGCTTTTTTATCATCCATCTTTTGATGCTTTCTTCTTTCTTGGCTTTGGTGAAAAATTATTCTCTTGCTTTTCCTCCTATCTTTCCCTCTTCCTCTTTTGTCTCCTTTCTGTCTAGTCTACATGCTTTGCCCTCTGCTTTCTGTCTAGGATTTGGCACTGTGGCACTCTTGCTGTATATTTGCTGATGACTCCTGTATCTGTATTCACAGCACACTCCTCTTTTCTTAAGCTTCAAACATCTGTTTTCACTTGTGTTTGATAGACTTTCCATTTGGCTTATCTCATACGCCCAACACAAAAACAAGAATCTCTGCTGGCCAGAATAGTGTCTTTGTGTGAATCAGTGTCTTGTAGCCCATATAGCCTTTGGCACTCAGAGCTCAGGCTGGATTTCACCCTCTACTTTTCCCCTTGGTATGATGCAGTCTGCATAACTGTACACGTGTACTTGCCTGTAGTTCTTGAATTTGTCTCTCCTCTTCTCCCCCTGCTTGCTGCCTGAATTCAGGTTCTTAGGTTTTTGGTCTAACCTTGTCTTTATTCTTCTATTTCCTTATCTTTATATTTTCTCCTTTTAGGTCATCATTCTGAATTGGAACTCTGGTTAACTCGCCCAGTTAATGTCCGTAATTATTTCCCATTACTTTTCATGTACAATTGAATGCCTTAGTATTGCACACAAGAATTTTCCTAATCTGGGCCTTGTCTACATTTCCACACTTCACGAAGTTGCTTACTGCCTCTAGTTTGCCCTGTTCTCTTAAGCTTCTGGGCCTTAGCACATGCTGTTCCTTGAGTAGTGTCTTCTCATTACCCTTGTCTGATTGGCTAATTCCTGTTGTTCTCTAGGGCTTTTGTCAAGTGTTGCCTTTTCTGGGAATCCTTCCCTGATCTCTGTAGTCCTGGTTAGATGTTCTTCCTTTGTTCGCTCATGCGTGGTTTTGTCATGCATAGCAGTTGTGTTTGTACTGTGTAGAATTTATCTGCTTGTCTACTGGTTAAGTTAGAGCTCCTGAGAGCATAGATTATATTTTCAATTCCTGTTCCTCTAGGCTCTAGGGCCGCAGTTTTAAATTATACTCCTAAGATCCTTTAGGTGTTTTCTGAAGTTTTTCTGGGCTCTTTATCCTTTTCTTGGTTCCCCTGCCTGCCCATCCCACCCCTCAGTACCCTTCTCCCCTTCATCTATAGCACTCCACTTTTATCTTTTTTATGTTTGTTATTCATCCAAGATTTTGTTTGTTCAAAGAAATGTTTTGTGTCTAAATGAAGGAAAGAAGGAAGGGAAAAAAAGAGAGGAAAGGAATGAAAGAGAGAAAGATGAAAGAAAGAAAGAAGAAAAGAAAAAGCTTGGTTTTGAGACTTAACATAATGCTTAGAACAGTAGGCAATGGAGAAATATGGTTGATTAATCGATTTAGACATCTGCTTTGATAGACTGATATTGAAATGACCAGCATTATTAACCCATCATATCAGTTTATGCCCCTTTCCTCTAACATACCACAGTTGTTTTAAATTTAAATTTTCTTTATCATACTACTTGCTCTGCCTGATGTTTCCTTTTCTTTGAAGAGGTGCTTAATACATTTTTACGGAGTTAATTAATGGGATTGAATTTGACTTGATAAAATGATTTTTTATTGTTGTTATCAGCTCACCTGAAAGATCAGCTTTTTTGGTACAACTTTCCTATGAGTTTACTTTATAAACCAAAGGAAAAAAGAACAATTTTCAATTAGTCTATTTTGGGTTTATTGATGAACCATAATTTATCTTACCTAGGCTAACTCATGTGGTTACTGCTAACATTTGTTCAACTAAGTAATTTGTAAAATTGTTTTCAAACTGATGTAATGTTGGTCTTTTTCAGCTTGTGAAGCTTTGTATTGCGATGATTGATACCGGAAAAGCCTTTTGTGTTGCAAATAAACAATTCATGAATGGGATTCGAGACCTGGCACAGTATTCTAGTAATGATGCTGTAGTTGAGGTTAGTATTATTAAAATTAATTAAAATGATAAATGCAACAAGACATTAAAGAATTATGCATCATTTACCTTATTGATAGTTACAGTCGTTATTAAAATTAGAAGTAGAAAAGCTATCACCATAAGTGTTGTCTTGTAAAATTTTGTTTTCTTGGATAGTTAGAAGTTGATGTTGATTTGCATTGTCAGTGTAAGTTTACGTGCTGCTAGGTGAGCTGAAGCATGGGCAAGAGGGTGTGAGCAGAGAGAGCAGCATGTATTTACTGGCAGCTGCTTCTGGGGCAAGCAGAGAGCATTAACCTAAGAATAGTATCTAACTGTACGTAAAGGGGGCTGCATAGGAAAGTTCTGGTCAGCTAGCTATGCTGGCTTAACTTAGACCCCTTGCTGTACTATGTGGTATTTTGATATTTCTTTCATGAGGAATAATAACTGGTGAAGAAATGGGTCTAGTTTGATGATTATTTGATGCATAGATGCTTAGATAGTCACAGACTTGATACACTCAATTTTACCTTTATGCTCATGTATGCCATTCCTATTTGTTAGCAGAGTACCATTGATATGGCAGTACTAATTTTTTTTTTTTTTTTTTTTTTACTATTCTAGTGTTTTATGTTACTACATAGACTTGACCTTTCTACAGAGCATGCCCATGAGGTAGTGAGATTGTCCTTGGAAATAAATGTATTTTACAATGGAACTTGATCTTGCTATTAGAAATGCTGTAGTAACATTTTTATGTCCTATTTTTGAGGCTTTTTAAATGACTTGGTTTTCTTTTGGTTTCTTTCTTATAGACCAGTTTGACCAAGTTTTCTGACAGTCTTCAAGAAATGATAAATTTTCACACAGTAAGTGTCAGTAAGTAGGTGTTATTATGACCATGTTAATATTTTAGTACTTTTCTTAAGTGGCAGTGTATTATAAAATTACTAAAGTTGGAATTCAGTGACTTTGATTTACCAACAACTTTTTAGTCGAGTCAACCTAAAATGTGTGTGTGTGTGTGAGAGAGAGAGAGAAAGAGAGAGACAGAGTATATACATTTTATTTCCCATTCTAAAATAGTGAACTTAAGTATACACCCATAAAAGCTATTTTTCCCTTTAAGTAGTGCCTTTGTAAGTTTTTAAGCAATTATTTCAAGAATAAAGAAGTAAAAGTCATAATTCTACATTTAGCTATTTCTTTTAAGATACTTACAAATGTATCTTGTCTAATCAATTACCAATATTAAAGACTGTTGTAGTCTTTGAGCTATTTATATGTGTGTTTAAGATTTGAGGGCATTTATCCTTCAAGAACGAGGGATATATATTACTTCTGGAATGTCAGGAAATTCCTTTATAAATTTTGTAAAAGTTTACTGAAAATATGGTGACTTATAAACTATATACTTCTTATAATTTTTAAAGAAGCTTAACGTATATTGCTGTCATATAATCATTCAGTGCTTCAAAATTTATTAGTAGCTGTCTGTAACAAAAATATCAACGTTTATATTCTTTATCAAATCTGCTAATTTTTGGTTCTTTGTCAATTTGACTTTCTTAATTTTTTTCTGTCAACATATTAAGGATGAAGTTATCTGATAATATTTATTTTAATTGTAGTAAAAATTTTAGTTGTACCAAAATTAGCATGTACAAGTATCTGCTTCAGTTCCTGCTTTCAAAAATCAGATTTGTTTGAAGCAAGGTTTGTAAGTATAGTTTGCTTCAAGAGGATAGAGATTGGTCATTTTAGTGCTAGTGCTGTTAATGTGCGCCTAGTTTCCTGAACTGATTCAATAATGTGTTTTTTTCATTTTCTAAAATTGGAAGCGATCAATGTTTTTTGACTTTAACATTGTAAAAAGAACACAGGATTTAGATAGAGACAACTTAGATTGAGTTTAGGCTCCACTGTTATTAGCCAAATAATTTTGGTCACTTAATCACTTTCACTTTTCAGTTTACTGTTCTATAAAAAGGTAATAGAATTTGCCATGCCTGTATGTAAGGGTGTTGTGAGGAACAAAATATGTGAAAGTAGACTCTGGGGAGTGATATTTCTTTCTTTACTGTATTAATTGGCATCTATTCAGGGAAATAGAAACCACTTAGAGTATTTCTGATAGAAAGGTTTTAATACAGTGAATCGGTTACAAAAGTATTAGAAGAGTTGGAGGAGTAAAAAAAGCTGGGGTGATGCCACGTAGAGGTTAGATATTGCCAATAAAGCTATTGGGAAGCAGCTATTGCCCCTAGGGCTGGAGAACAGAAGTGAAAGTCATGTTACCAGAGCCTGTAAGTACTGCACTGTTGAGAATACTGCTGTTGTTACCCATCCAGGAAGCCAGGAGCCCGCCCTCTTGTTGCTGCTGCAAGAGCCAAGGAGCCTGCAGTCCCATTGACACTGCCTGGATTGGTCACGACTGCTGCTGAAAGTTGGAGTAGCTCATAGTTGCTCACTGATGGCTGTGTCAGAACAGAAACAGAAAAAAAAATGGCTGCTTTTTATCTCCTTCCTCTTAACCTAACATCAGCTACCATTGGCAGAATCTAACCTCTTAGCTTGCAAGGGGGTCCTGGAAAAATGCTTTGCAGATGTCTAGCCCCTGGTAGTCTAGAGGAGACTATGCAAAGGTGATGTAGTGGTGACAGCCCACAAACAACCAGCACATCAACTATAAAGGCTATAATTTTGAAAATATTTTTTTGGTGGCAAATTATTGTGTGACTTTTTATCCTTAAAACTTTCCTATGAGGCGGCTGGCCCCATGGCCAAGTGGTTAAGTTCATACACCCTAGCTTCAGTGGCCCAGGGTTTCACTGGTTCGGATCCTGGGTGTGGACGTGGCACCGCTCATCAGGCCATGCTGAGGCGGCATCTCACATAGCACAACTAGAAGGACTGACAACTAAAAAAATATACAACTATATACTGGGGGGATTTGGGGAGAAAAAGCAGGAAAAACACTCCATAAAACTTTCCTATGACTTTTCTCTTTCGATGCATTCCATATCTAACACATTAGCAAGATATACCCCAAATCCACCTATCAAAAGTTTCTCTGCCACCTCCAAGTCTAAACTACTACCACCTCTTGTTTAGGATTGTACAACAGCCTCCCAACTTGCTTCTTTTCCTGCCCTTCTACAATGAGTTCTGTTTACAGCAATCATAATGAACTTTTAAAAATGTATTGGGCCAGCTCTGGTGGTCTAGTGGTTACATTCAGTGCATTCCACTTTGACAGCCTGGATGAAGATCTACACGGTTCTGTTAGTGGCCATGCTGTGCTGGTGGCCCACATACTAAAAAATAGAGGAAGATTGGCATGGATATTAGCTCAGGGTGAATCTTCCTCAGCAAAATAATAGTAATAATAAAATAAAATAAATGAATTCACAGCGCTCTCCTGCTGTAGCTCCCATCACTCTCAGGATAAACTTACTATGGCCTACCACACGCAATATGATCAGGCTTCTGCTGATAACTGCCTGATCTCATCTTTACTCTCTACCTGGCTGTAGCCACTTGGATTCTTTGTTATTCTTTGAACATGCTGAAGTAATTCTCATCTTAGGGCCTTTGCACTTGCAATCTGTTTCGTGTGGCATGCTCTTCCTTCACATCGATGTGTGACTAATTTCCTTACCATATTCCTTCTCTTTCTACAAGTCTCTCTCACTTCATTTAGGTCACTCTCTCTCAGAGAAGCCTTCCTTGACCACCCTACAGTCACTTTTCATCATTTAACACTGCCTTTTACACACACACTCACACATACACAGATCATGTGTATGCACATGGTCTAGATCTTCCATATATATACTTATTTTATTGTCTGTTCTGAGTTTCATGACTGCGGGCACTTTGTTATATTTATCTCTCCTCCGACCACAACTGCTTCTCCTACTGCTACTGGAAGAGTTCCTGGTAGAAAAGAGTTACTCAAAGCAGGGTTAAGAGACTAAGGTTATGAGCTTAGGAAAACTCTTAAATGTTTTTTTATAGTCAATAAATGAATAAAAATTTGTTAAATCAGTGACAAAGCACAGCAAATAGACAATTTAAAGTATTAAACATTTTTTTGAAGTATTTAATTTTTCTTTTATTTTTCCTTGCACTTAAAAAACTGCAGGATCTCTGTTTTGACTGTAGAATTTGTTGCTTTAAAAAGATAATTTGCAAACTAAGAGGAGATCATTATTTGTCTGCCTAGAGGTCTGAAGGCTGTGGTTGGCGAGCTTGTGTGTGTTTACGTATCTGCTTATGTATATGTATAGAGAGAGAATTCTGTCTGATATGACACCCAGATGTCCAGTGCCTTTCTGATTTTATTCCCATATTCCTTTTTACTGCATCTCAGAAATTTTCCTACTAATAGATATAAGTATGAAATTGTGAGACCTTAGTTTACTTTCTTTTAATCTTCTTTCCTTTTATGGTTGCTATGCTGTCTGCTTTACCTGGCCTTTTTGCTGCTCACTAACGAATACTTTTTTCTTAATTTTTCCCAGTAGGAGTGACTGGTGTACTTGAATCAGAATTCTTATATTTGTGGCAAAGGTTCTTCCCCCATCGTAACACGATATACTTCACTTTAACTAGAATGTGGATAAGGATGACATATCTTGTTTACAGTTATATCTCCAGTACTTGCATAATTTTCATCCTGGGGATGTCATTTAATTTTTCTAAGCTTTACATTCCTCCTCTGTAAAATGAAGGGGGTTTACTAGATGACTTTTAATTATAAAAATTCTAAGATCATAAAGCATTATTTATTATAAGATTTAAGTATGACCTTTGTTAAAATGTGGAGAAAGCCTAGTTATATAAAATGCTTTATTGTAGTAGCATTCTCTACGATGAAATTTTAATTACACAGCGTTACAGGATAAAGGAGGAGTCTTTATAGGATAAGAAAGTGCTTTCTAAAAGGCGATAAGCAATGGAATCTGCTTTACATTCTATAGCAGAGTTCCTAAGACTTTGGTTTTGGTGTATCAGTTTGTGTCAGGATAAAAGGCTAGATATTCTAGAGATGTCATTTATGAATAACTTTGTGGGCTTAAGTAAATGTTTGAAATAATAGAATGATTTGTATTATTAGCCAAGTGAGATTAAGCATAGATTAGGATTAGATTATCCAGTCATTTAAAAAATATTTGAATTCTTTTGTGATTTATTTCTTCTGTAATAGATAGTACTGTTTCTTATTCCTTATAGAATGAGGATTTCCTAGGCTTGCTCTTTAACTCATGTCTTTATAAGGTGCCGACTCATGACTTTTCAGAGCAGGTCATGTGTGCTACATTCTGCTACGTACTAGACTTGATTTGAATGCTGACTTGTTTTCCTGGGATTTAGGGATTTCTGTAACCTCACTGATGACTTTTGGATTCTAATTTGCCGTTGGTATAAGGAACTTGGACTATTTATTTGATTGTCATCTTTGCTGAATTTAAAGTTGAGTTGCTGCATAAATTCTGTGAAAACGTGTGACCTTTTTTGTTTTTTCTGTTTGATTTTCCATATTATTTCCATATTTCCAGTTATTCCGTAACTACTTATTCACTCAACAAATGGTTTTAGCAAGTCAGAATACAGTAGTTTAGTGACTTTCCACTGTTCTTATGGCACAGAGAGAAACTGATGGTCGTATTATTGTGGGACACTGGAGAAAACTGCAGGGGGACATGAGGGTGTCATGTCCTATTTGGGTGTTGGTGAAAAATGCTTAAATTTCTTTTTTATGGAATTATGTCAAAATAATTTAATTAATATGTAATAAATAACTTCTTTTTATAGAATTATGTTAAAATAAAACACAGTATAGGGAAGATATTACATACAATTC